TCGACCTTAACCCACCTGTCACCAGAACCTACTTTTGTTTGTAGGGTCCCTGTGAATCCCATATTAGGGATTATAACAAGGACCTACAAAAAAATTGGGTTTGGGTAGGTTAAGGTAGGGTTTAGGGCTTTAAGGCTTCAGGGTTTAAGTTTCTGGGGTGCAGTGTCCTAGGGCGGGGTTTAGGACTTCAGATGTTTAGGCTGGCGGCAGCTCAAGGATTGGCCGCATAGCTGCTGGAAGGACACCGGTGGATTGGTATCTTACAAAAACCCAAAGGGACCTGTGTACCTATATAGTAGAATGTAGGGTTCCTATATTAGGAATTCTTATTATGATTTAGGGAAGTATCCCCCCATAACAGTACATGGGACCCTTTGAGAAAAGGAAGACCGCGGAAGGGTAACAACTGTTGTGGCATCGAGCTACAGGGCACGAGAAGATCAACAACAGAAGACTCTCTACAAACCATCTTAAATCCTAAACCCTAACCCTCCAGGTAGCTACTATATATTGGGGCTTAGGAGCTCTAGTACCCTATTTAGTAAGTACCTGAGGGGTTGGGGTAAACCCATACTTTGCAACGAGGGGATCTGGGCCTGCAATTTAGGGTTTAGGGTTTAGGGTTTAGGGTTTAGGGTTCCACAACACCATGAAGCCGGCAGAAGAAGCAATAATGTCGCAGAGTATGCCAGAATTCTGTCTATCGCAGGGCCACTTTGTGCCCTAGAGGACTAAAGAAAGTCTTGAAAACCATAGGCTGCTGCAGCCGTGGGCTTTGACGGCTGCCTGTAGCCTCATAAGGAGCTACATAACTACAGAGACCCCATATAAGTCACCCCCACCTCCCTCAACTGACATCGGGCAACCTCAAAGGTAGGAAGCGAAGACGGTAAAATGGGCCAAACCAGCGGCGCAGTGTTTCGGGCTTAGGGTTTTGGAGATTCTGGTTTATCAAATTTAATCGTGTGGGATACTGCGGGAATGGCAACGGGCGATGGAGTAAATATGAGTTTCGACTTCCACTCCCATCTTCCACCCCAGTCTGTTAATGTAGGGGCCTTTAAAAGCAGAACAGGAGTTTGGGGTATGTTATACTATAATTATCAAAAATAGTATAGGTAATGATTTAGGCCCCCATATTATCTCAACTTATCTCAAGCAACTTGAACCACCAGATGGATATGATGAGGGTTCAGCCTTGCGTCCAAGTCTTGTGCCATGCTTGAACTCAGCCGAACTCTACACTCTACGGTTTCTGGGGTTTCAGGACGTAGGGCTAAGCACCTTTAGCGCTTGGGGTTTAGAACGAGCGGGCCAGGTTCGAACCATGAACGCTACACCCTGGACCCTAAACCGGATAGGGCTTAGAGAGTCGGGTTGATGCTGTCTGAAGATGAAGATCCACAGCTTTTTGTTCCAACATTGAACCTCTTATGTAATCCTGAGGTCATGAGTTCGTCCTGATCTAATTTAGAGGCCTTATAGTAATCAGAATTAGAGTTTCGTGGGTATCTTCTGTTACAGCTATACAGAGGGAGGACAAGGGCCATACGATTATTCATCAGACCGACTGACATGCGTCCATAAGGATTTTACAACCACAACTCTGTTGCCTCCCTAAAGCCTAACCCTAAACCCTAAACGTGGTAGCTACACGCAGGCAAGGGTTGGCTCTGTACCCGGTGCGCTCGGCCAATTTGGAACACGGATTGAGGATGCCCAGTGCCAGTAGTACGTGGAATCCATATGCTTCACCCTGAGGCATCAGGAACATTACTGTTCCAACTTATTGACTTCTTGAACCATAAACCCTAAACCCAAAACCCTAAAGCCCAAACCCCAAGCCCTAGGCCCTAAACCTCTAAACCGGAAACCCTAATCTCCAGGTTGTCTGTGAGAACAGCACAGCGGAAGATCTTCGTCTTCTGAGGCGCTGCCGCTCATCGTCTTGCGCGCCTTTTGCCTTTGCTTGAGATGTGACTCCCAACACCCTGCCAGAAGGAGCCTTCCAAAATAGTGTTGGTCATCCATGGAGCTTCAGTATGTTTCTTAAGGGTTTAGGGTTTAGGGTTTAGGGTTTAGGGTTTTGGCCACATAAAACCCTGAATTCTGGCAGGCGGCATTTCCCTCAGCTGTCGGCTGCGATGCTTCTTGGCATGCTCCATCATAAAGTCCTCCAGGCGGCACTCCCGAGACCGAACAATCACAAGTTTAGGGCTTTGGGCCGGGTTTTGGGGTTTAGGGTTTGGGGGTTAGGGTTTAGGGTTTAGCCTTTAGGCCTTTAGGGCTTTCGGGTTTAGGGATTCCGGGCTCAGGGCCAGTTTAGGGTCCCCGAAAGCACCAGGCATCCACCAAAGCAGGTAATCAAAAACCCCACACCTCTCAGGCCCCCACTCACACCCCACAGTCTCTTAAGGCAGACCATTCGCAAGCCCCAACACCCTAAAGTCTAAGCCCTAAACCCTAAACCCTAAACTCTAAAACCCTAAACAGCCAAACCCGAACTCCAAACGTGAGAGCCGGGCCTCCTTCTCCTCCTGCTTTAGCACTTTCTCCTGGGGATCTGGTAGGGTTTAGGGCTTAGGGTTTAGGGTTTAGGGTTTAGGGTTTAGGGTTTAGGACCAGAAGCACTGCTGAGGGCTCGGCGTTATTGATTATGGGCTTAGGATCTTTAGGGTTGAGGCCTTGAGGGTCAAAGTTAAGGTTTGGGGCTTAGGATTTAGGGTTGAGGGCTTGAGGATCAAAGTTTAGGTTTAGGGTTTAGGGTGTAACTACATGAGACCCCTGCCGACTGCCAGGGGTCTGCATCGAAGAGTGAAAGGAGGCAGGAAAGGATGAGCCGACTGCAGCCAAGGCTCATGATGTGGAGTTTGGACATCGGCGTAGTAGGACTTCATGTATGGTAGGTGCTGAAACCACGGAACCCAGCGATAGAACCACATCAGCACTTTGTCCACGCCCCACCTCAACCCCCAGGTCTAAACCCTAAACCCTAAACCCTAAAACCTTACAACTTCGTCTAAAAACCACCAAAACCCTCAACTTTTCGGTTCCTTTGTACCTAAAGCCTCCGAAGCCCAGCCACAATGTCAGGCCCAAAATCACATTCAGAATTGCCAGCTTCTGGATGGCGTATGCCGGATTCCAGCCTTGTTTGCACAAGGAGCTCGGGCGTATTGGGGTTTAGGGTGTAGGTATCAGTCAGGGTATTACCACTATAAGGAACGATGCCGGATGCAATTAATCCTGATAATCTCGACTGAGTGGACTGACTACTTGGCTGCTTTGATGACTGACTGAAAGCCTGATTGGTTGATTGATCGGTTGATCGCTTGATCGACCGATTGAATGATTGACTCATTGATTGATTGATTGATTGATTGATTGATCGGCTGAGGGTTTATATAGGTCTTAAGTTTTAGACCCTAAACCAAAACCCTAAACCCTAAACCCTAGGGATCATGACATCGATCGAGTATCTGGCAAGCTTTCCCCGGAAGCTGATGAAGACCTTGATGCCAGACTTGCGGATGAGCTTCCGGGTCTCCCCCTCCAGCTCATGAACAACGTCTACCTGGAGGGGTTTAGGGTTTAGGGTTTAGGGTTTAGGGTTTAAACTCTGGACAGTGATCGGGAGTCCCACGCAGAGCCCAGAGAAGGGGCTTCTTCTTTGGAAGGTTCCCTTCAAAGATCCAACCACGACCAGGAAAGACGAGCCTTCCCGTTAAAGAAGGGTTGATTCCTTGCCTGCTCGAAAGATACCCTAAACCCCAAACCCCTAAA